GGGAAGAGAGAGAGAGAGAGAGAGAGAGAGAGAGAGAGAGAGAGAGAGAGAGAGAGAGAGAGAGAGAGTTGTCAGAATCAGGTCCAAGAAAGCGAGATCATACCCCACTGATGAAAATGGATGCACAGAAAATGAAGGATATTTAGAGGGGAAAGAGCGCACCGGCGAGAAGCAGAAACGGTACCTGAGGACCAAATACAAACTCCTTTGGCACTTAAAAGACACCCGTAAATCGAGAAATGGTCCCAATTTTTGAACTAAAAAACAAAGACGTCAAGAGTATCCAGAGAGAAAATGAAAAGGAAGTGCTGGAGTTAAGAATGAGCATGCTCTGAATGAGTGGGCTGAGCTACAGGAACAGGAGTTTCTGCAATGTAAAAGCTGACCCTTCTAACGCCCTCCCTTCGTTATATATTTCTTGTTTTATCGTTATATATTGTATTATTTATCGTTATATATTGTATTATTTATCGTTATATATTTATTATTTATTATTTATTATTTATCCGTTATTCAGAATCTTCAACAATAAAACTGACATCTGACTGGAAAAGGAAACTCAGCTGGTCCAGATATAGCAAGAATTGAGAGCTCTTTCCTGATTCGATGGGTGGTCACCGTGGTGCATGGCTGTTCCTTTCTTCTTTTTTCATTATAAAAAAAACAGAAGCTTACGGTTCTGGTTCCATTGTGCATGGCTGTTCTTAGTTGGTAGGGTGATTCGGGGGAAAAAAAGAAAGAAAAGGAAACCCGGCCCATTGATGACCCTTCTCAGCAAATGCAAGCAGCTGGCGAAGAAGATAGTTTTTTTTTTTTTTTTTTTGGATATATATATATTATTTTTGGAGATTTTTTTTTTTTTTTTTGGGATAACTCAGCTTTTGTATACCACCAGAAAAGATCGCTCACCTGCAGGTCGGGAGCAGCCCCCGCATATTCTCTCGTGAACACGGTTCTGGCTGCTACAGGGTTCCCGCATGCCTACAATTAGGAGTAGTGGTAGGTAGGTAGTCTGAGGTGAAATTGAGAGAAGAATATAGCTTTTATTTCTTTTTTTTTTACAGGACCATGGT